AAAACCTATTGTTCAGAGTAAGATGAACCAAGGAGGTCCTGCAAAGGATTTGCTTTGCCTAAGGCTTAAATCAGGGGTGTCAAACTCAATTTCATTGAGGGCCGCATCAGCATTGCGGTTGTCTTCGGGGGGCCGGGTAGGTGTGGCCAGGGTGGGCACAGCCTACTGGGTGGGCATGGCTGGAGTGGGTGTGGCCTACTGGGTGGGCATGGCCAGTTCTACATCGTTTGCGTCAAGGGTGCCTGTGGGGGCCTGGGCAGGAGTGGGACAGATCTGAGGGTCTCTGGCAGAAGGGGGGGACCAGGGCAAGCACCAAGGCATGGTCCATTGGAAGAGCCTCACTGTTCCTCTCAGGCCATGCGAGGGGGGGCTGCATGGTGCTGCGGGCTTTCCAGAGCCCTGGGCAACAGAGGTCAAATGCCCAGCCCGGCCCTCAAGCACCCACGGCACCAAGCCCAACCCCACTACCCCAAGGGGTTGCCCAGCTGCACTTACCTCCTCCTCAAGGCTGCTGCTGCTGTGCTTGCTCTCCTTAGCCAGGTTGCTCATGATGGGTATGAGGGCAAAGTCAGAGGGAAGCCCACTCCCTCTCCATGGGAGACCTAGCTTTGTATCCAAAGCTTCCTTAGCAATAGGATGGGAGACCCCCCCAGGATAGGCCAGGAGGAGGGGGCAAGGGGATGATGAAAGGGCAGCAGGGCAGGACTAAGGTAGGACTTCCCTCAGACTCTCCCTCTCCTTCCTTCCTTCCTTCCTTCCTTCCTTCCTTCCTTCCTTCCTTCCTTCCTTCCTTCCTTCCTAAGAACAGAGTAGTGGGAAAATATTTGAGATGAAGGAGAAAAACAGGCAAGAAACGCAGCTGGAGAGGTGTCACCCTTCGTGAGGAATGAAGAAATGCACCATCGCATGGAAGTGGCCAGCAGATGGCCCTTACCTACTTCACATATCTGGCTTGGTGGGCTTTGGGGGAGGGGACGCCATGAGCAATGTGAGAGTTGATGTTATCTGCGCAATGCCATCCAGCCCCCAGCCTGCCTGGTTTCGGCAGGCAGTGAGGCGCTCTCCTCACAGTGCCGAGAGGCTGAGCCAACCAGAGTGAATCTGAAAAGAAGCGCGATGCCACCCAGCCCCCAGCCTGCCCGGTTTCGGCAGGCAGGAGGGCGCTCTCCTCACAGCGCCAAGAGGCTGAGCCGGGCAGTGTGAAGCTCGCCAGCTTTGCACATTGCTGCCTGTTGAAATCAGGCAGGCTGGGGGCACACTTTTTGAATTTGCGCCGCCTGGCTCAGCCTCTCAACGCTGTGAGGAGAGCGCCCCACTGCCTGCCGAAATCGGGCAAGCTGGGGGCTGAGTGATGTCGTGCTTCTTTTTGGATTCATGCCGCCTGGCTCAGCCTCTCGGCGCTGTGAGGACAGCGCCCCGCTGCCTGCTGAAACTCATTCCCCGGAGCCCATCAAGCCGGATATGTGAAGTAGGCGAGGGCCATTTGCTGGCCACTTCCAGGCGATGGTGCATTTCTTCATTCTTCACAAAGGGTGACACCTCCCTAGCACGCGCCCAGGGGTCAGGGCCAACATGGCAGGGGCCGGTCCCTTGCTGTTTCCAGACGGCCTTGTGGAGCATTTCAGCATAGATGGCCACCACAAAATTGTACATTGGCTCCCGGGCAGCCTGGGCCAGGGCCAAAGCAGGGGGGCCATTCCCTCACTGTTTCCAGGATGGCTTTGCGGGCCACATGAAACCATGTCACGGGCCGCATCCAGCCCCTGGGCCTTGTGTTTGACATGTCTGGCTTAAATGGTAAGTCTTGCATAGACCCCACAACAGATGCAGCCCAATTCCAATTGTATTACAACATTAAGGGTCAAGTGAGATACGTGTGCTATTGTTTTTAGAAACTTAGTTTATATAGCGATGAAGACTGATATCTTCTTAACATATAGCCACATCCCCAAAATGTGGATCTTCAACAGCAGCTGGGACACAACTGTTTCCATACCAGTTTGCAAATTTTGAAACTGGTGGAGACGCTTTTGGGCCCTTGTAGCTAATACCTTTGCTTGGTTATCCCAGCAGATAGAAGATTGAAAGTAGAAACCAAAATAATTGAAAGGGAAAACCTAAATATTCAATAGGGCTTTTATTTATTGATCATTTAGCTTAGGTTGTGAACCTATGTTTTCTGATCTTTGAATTGTAAAAATAAATGTATTTTGCAAGTCAGTAGTTTTCGTGACCCACAGCCAAAAGGGAAACATAGAATTGAAATACGTAAAAAAAAAAAAAAATTAAAGAGGTACAACATGAGAATGCAGAAAAGGGTTTGTATATGCAATTTGCAAAGGCTATAATTAGGCATCATTTTCTCAATCAGGACTTGTAGAAAAATGAAGGAAAGTACTTGAAGAATTGTTTTGAGGTAGTACTAGCAAGAGAACATCAGCAGACCAAAACTTGTGACTTTTTTTCCCCAGCAGTATCAGCAAGAAAGCCCAACTTACACGATGATTTTCTTTAGAGTGTGATACTGCATCAGAATAATAATATAATTTGAAGCTCTTCATTGTTGCTCAGAAAATAAGTCCCCCCTTCACTATCCTACAGCAGTAAAATTGTATAAAGATTCATACAAGTTAGAAAGTCACAGAGAATCCAACAGAAGAACAAAAAGAACCATTCCAGAATAAGGGTACCTTTTAATCAAGGCGGAACTTTTATTGTGTGCTTTTGCTTATATATGAAATTAAGCTGAAGCCCCTTGCTTCTAAAAGGCACAAAGATGCTTCAAAATATGCAGGGGGGGCTTGGGAAACACCTGTTAGAAACTGCCTAAAACAGCTGCATCTTTCTCTGAGATCAAGTGTTTGCCTTTACTGCAGCAGTGAGATTCCAGGAAAAGATCTGCTTGGTTTAAAATGTTTATATCCAAAGGTTCCTTATGAGAATATAACCCCTTTCAGCTCTTTCCTTACTTCTGGATCATGCTGGTCTGTACATTTGGGGTATTTATAATTATGTCAATAATGCTACTTATGCTATCTGACTTTTCTATCTTATACTTAATGGTCAATTTTCTTTTCAGTTTTGAAATATGGAGTGATGTACATCTTGATTTAATAGTGATGTTCCCTTGTTGCACTGAGTAACTGACAGTTGGTCAGTTATTAAATGTTATGCTGTGCAAGAGATAATCATACTAACTTCCACTAATTTGCCATATTTGTCTCTATATCTGTGCATTGGTCATATTAAAAAAAAACATCTACACTGAGTTCTTTGTGCAAATAAATGGCAACTCCCTGTAAAACTGGATGGAATGCTGATTATTCCTTGTACTTTTCTTTCCCCATTCACCCTCTTTGGGTATTTATATAAATGCAAAAATATATGTAATTTTGAGGCTTAACATCAGTCATGCTGCCTTCAGGGGATGAGTCTATATAAATAAAATTAAAATAGTATCTGGAAAAAACTTCAGATAAAAAAAATGAGAAAGGATGCCTTTTCAAACAAGATTAATATGTACTAGGGTGGATGAAACAATGTACACAAGAGCAAATAAAAACAAATAAAATAAATAAAATTGAAAATACAAATTTTCGGTTGTTGATCATATTGATTTCTGAAGTATTACTTTCTACAAAAAGACTGAATGGAGCAATTTAAGTTTTCCCTTCTTCACATTACTAACGTTCTCATATTCAAATGTTGTTCATACACACATACACCTATCTCACAGCGTTAAAACTTTTCATGGTTTCCCTCGTTCCTTCCACTTTGTCCCGTGCAATTTCTCCCGTTGTTGAATGAAAGCAAAACAGCCTTTCCCACAACCGTAAGCGTAATACAAGAGGGATATGAGAGGAGGCATAAAGAATCGACATCATTCAGCTTTATAAAAGGTGAATTTCGCAGGAATAAACAAATGTTTGATTGAGCTTTTGCAGAGCAGTTTGCGTTACAGAAGAACCCAGAGGGACTCCATTTGTCGATAGCCTGCAGGACTCTTGGAGGGGTTCCAGCTGTGACATTTTCAGGACATTTCCGCGCATTTGGGGTTCGCTTTGGGCTTTGCCGCTTCGTTCCAGCGTTGCATTCTCGGAGGCGGCGGCGGCGGTGGTGTTGCGGAGCAATGCAGAGTTTGGCTTGCAAGGGACAAAAACGTTGCGACCGGGAGGGTGTTTTCCTTTATGTTTTGGCGGCGTGTGTGTGTGTGTGTGTGTGTAGGACTGGAGGATAGCCGATGCGGCTGCTGTGTGGCGAACGGCTCCTGAGATGTATAGAGAGAAAGGTTAGGTTTCCCCCCCGCCCCCGTTCCCTTTTTCTTCGCAAAGAGAAAAGGACAGAGCGGCACTCTGGATTCCCCCCCTTACAGTGCAACGTCTCTATCCTTTAAATAAATGGCGACGTCGCTCCTTCCTGCTTTCCCGCCACATCCTAATTCACCTTGTCTTTTACCACACACACACACCCCCCCACCATTTTCCGTCTAGCACCACCCTCGCGGCGGATTTAACGGGACCGCGCTAGTAGAGAGGGAGAGAGAGAGAGAGTGGAGGGGGTGTGGTTTTAGAGGATGACAATGACAGGGCGGGGCTTGACCAGCTCCTCCGCGCGAGCCCAGGCCGTTTGGTTTATGAGTGTGTGAGAGGGAGAGGAGAACGGGAACGAGCGGCTGCCAGCGACGGTGGCGGAGAAGGAGGAGGAACGCCGCGGCGGGGGCCGGCAGAGCGCGAGGCAGCCTGTCAGCAGCAGCCGCCGCCGCCGTCTGCCGGGTGGAAGGGCAGCCGGGAGAAAGACCGGAGGAGGGGCGGGGCGAGAGGGGGCTCGTGGAAGCGAAGGAAGGCTAGAAAAGGAAGACAGCCGCGTCTGAGGGGGAACGTGAGGGCAGCCAGCGAGGGGGGCGGAGCCTTCCTATCTAGCCTCCGCAGCCGTCGCCGCCGCCGCTTCGGCTCGTCAAAGCTCTCTCACCCCCCCTCCCCTCCCCTCCCGCCCCTCTGTTGCCCTGTGGCCGGGCGGAGATGGCGATGCTGGATCTGGCCCTGGAAGGACTCGCCGTCTTCGGGCTTATCCTCTTCGTGGTCCTGTGGCTCATGCACTTCATGTCCATCATCTACACGTAAGTGAGGCCTCTCCGCTGCCGGCTACTGCCCCTCGCCCCTCCCCTCTCCGAATTCCCCCCCACACACACACGCATACACGCACACGCGCGCGCGCGGGCGGGCGGGCGCGGCAACTGGAGCGGGGGGGGGTCATTGGCTACCCGCCCCCGCCCCCATTGCGCTGCTTCTCTCCTAGCCGGCGCCTCCGCGCTTTGTCCCCCGGAGGGAGGGGAGGGGGGTTGGTCCCGGGCTGAGAGGCGACGCACCTGTCTTGCTCAGGCTGCAGCCCTGGGTGGGGGGGGGGAAAAGAAACCACCCCCGCTCGTCCATGCCGCACCCACCTCCCCGCCATGGACGCCTTCACAGCTTTCTCTCCCGGCCCCCCCCCTTTTCTCCGCCTGCCCTCTCACACACACACATACACACCCCCCCCCAATTGGGGCGCTCTCCGGCGATTCTCGTCATCCCCAGCTGATGACTTCCAATCCCGCCGGTGGGCTAAAAAGCCTTGGAGCTCCCTCCTGCCCTTTGGGGACTTGACTCGTCCGACCTTTGCTTGGAGAAATTAGACGAGAGCCAAGCCGTAACTGTATAGATTTGTCACTGCGGCTAACGAGGCGAATCCTCCCTGTACCCCTCTGCCTTCTTGTCTTGTAAGGGAGGGGTGCTTTTAAATCGGCCCTAAATAAGCTTTAGGGGGGCTGCCTTGTGTCTCTACCTGCTGTAAGTCAGCGGATCCTTGAGGAGGAAGCATTACAGGAGTAGTCTCTAATACAGTGGTTCTGAACCTGTGGGTCGGGACCCCATTTGGGGTCGATCGACCATTTCATGGGGGTCGCCAAGCAAGGCTGTCCACCATTTTTTTGTCCGCCATTTTTTTTCCCCTTTTCCGGCGGGTGCCTTACCTCCCTTGGGCTGGGCCAGCTGGTGGTCGGCCTGCTCCATCTCTGTCGCTTGCCAGCTACGCCTCGGCCGGCGCAGGGGGCGGAACCACGCATGCGCGGCGCTCCCGGGCAGGGAAAGTCCTCGACTTATGACCGGTTGGGTAGTCCTCAACATACGACCGGTTTAGTCCTCGACTTACGACCGGTTTAGTCCTCGACGTACGACCGGTTTAGTCCTCGACTTACAACCGGTTGGGGTCGCGGCATTAAAAAGGTTGAGAACCACTGCTCTAATACATACCGCCAGGATTCAGCCGTAGATCTGGTGTAACGAAGTGGTGGCGTTTTTATTTCCTGCAGTTACCTTTCTGTTGTGATTTTTTGTTCTCCTCCTCCTCCTCCTCCTCGATGCCATACTTGATGCTTCCTCCCCCTCCCCAAATACTTGGCAGACAATGTTTGTATCTCCCAACGTGAGGTGTTGAAATTCTGGAATTGGGTGTTCCTTCTGGTTCAATTATCAGGAGGCTATAACATTTTATATATATATATATATATAAATCCTGAATGGGTTTAAGTTGATTTTAAGGATCATTGAAGGGGAGACAGGTTTCATTATGCAAGCGATATATTAATGCATGATTAATGTAAGATGTCTTACTTAATATCTATTTCAGTTTGTCAGATTGCTGCAGTAGCTGTGTTGTAATGGGCAGATGAATAAAATGCTTCTTGAAATATTCTTAAATTATGGAATAAGTGCATAGAAATTTGTTAGCTATTAATAGTTGGCAGTTGGGATATTTGGAATGTGTAGAAGAAGATGACACGGGAAACTTATAATGACACAGTTTGACCTCTTGTAAAAATCCTAATTTCTCTTGCCAGTTATTAGTTATAATGAATAGCCTTCAGGCTTATGCAAAATGTTTAGAAATAAATGCAATGATTTCTTTGGGGCCTTAGAACTGATTTTTCTATGGCTGTGTGTTTCAAACATTGATAATATTTTAACTTTTAAAACAATAATGAATTTGAAATTAGACTTTTGAAGGAATTCTTGGCTCTTCTCCTTTAAATAAGTTAAATGGCTTTTATAACTTGACTGGGATACTTATGTCTAATTTCTCCAACTATATACCACATTTTTGTAGTATGAAAAACTACTAATCTCTTGAATACTGAAAACTTCTATGAAAAGAAAGAGGATTAGCTAAAAGAGATCTAACATCATTAATCATATTTAGAAGATGATTATTAGCTGATATATAAATAGCAATTTGAATATTGATGTGGAAAATTAAATTATCCATTGTATTGGTGGCTGTATTGTTTGTCGTCCTTCAAGCACAATGTGATGTTTGAGATTTCCACTGAATTCTATGTCTTTGTCTGTAGCAACTTAGCACAAGGAAGAGGTAGTATTAGCACTATAGGAGGAACCATTTCTGCAATGCAGAAAATTAAGAACATTAAATCTGTATATGGCTGAATTTCAATCAGGGTTCTATAACATGGAGATTATTATAGGGTTTATTAGTTAAACAGTGGTGCAACCACTTTGACTAGATTTGTTTTAAGTCTGTGAGGAAGAAATTTATATACATTATTTCAGGAGACAATACATATTGTAATACCTACAGAGCAGAACAAAAAATGTAACTAGTATATAGCACAAATAGCTTTAATATACTATGTAGCATAGTAACCTCTACGTCTCTCCCTTAACAGCTAGAGGCTTATCTACTGTATAAAGAATAAGATCATTCTTATATAGGCCAGTTGGCTGAAATAAGTATATATTGCATAAAGAATTAAGATGTTGATTTTTAAAACATGATTTGAAAACATTTTTACAAATGTATATAATGAGTCTATTAGGAAATAGTATTTTGAGTTAAAAGAGATATATACTCTTGCATAATTTATCTGATCCTGTATTTCATAACTGTCAGCCATTTGAAGTCTTTTGATTTTATAAAAAGAAAAGTAATGCATGGAACAGATTGATTTCTCTTTAGATAGAATAATATATTACAAGCACCTTAGTTCTAGCCTTTCAACCCAATTTAACCATCACTATCATCTATTTTAAAATTCAAACATAGCGTATCTAGTTTGAAATAAATGTACAGTTCTTCTCTACTGGGAAGTAATGTAATAAAAAATATTCATACTGGCTTAGTTGAAGGACATGATTAAAAGAAATCTGTGGTAAGGCAAGATAGCTGCAAAGGTATTTAGTGTTAGGGCATTTATTCACACACCCTGAGTCAAAGTGGCTACACTCCTACATCCATTACATACATCCCATCTTTGCATGCATACTGATTAGCAAAGCCCAGTGCATTTGGAGGGCAGAGAGCAACAAAGATCACAGCACACACCTTCCTCAGTAGATTATCACTGATCCCCAAACTGATTTAACTGATTATTGTTAGGTGTAGATAATTGTAAGAAGAGGATTTTCTTTCGGTATTCCTGTAGCCTGTTTAAAATAAAAAGCAGGCGTTACACTGGAGCAGCTTGAGGGTGAATGAATGGTCTTGTTTAATTTTTAGCATTCAGGCTCTGTTTCTATTCAGTAGTCCCTGAACAGCTCCCGCACAATAGGGGAGATATATAGATCTCTGTATCTTTTTCGTTATATAAAGCAAAACAGCCAAAGGTACTTTCTTTGAAAAGAAGATAGCTTTGGGAAAGAGTGTTCCCCAGTAGGGTTCTGTTAAAGGTTTTATTTATACAGCAATATTCAAGAGAAGTGTAGGGCAATTACTGTTGATGAAATGGAGATTTGTAAATGCAACTGTTTATGTATTTCTAATGTAATTTATTTCTTGCATCTTTCTTTACTGTCCCATAAAGTAGTGAATGACAAAACAGTTCTGGACTACAACTCCAGGAAACTATTGCTCCCTCTTAGTATGTATCTCAGACACTAATACTGTGTATCAGGTGTTTTAATAGTTACTTAAATGTATCACGTTTGGCTTGGCTATTGGTGACTGTAGTAAATAAAATGCTATCTCACTTTGTAATGATAATGTATAGCAGTGGTGGCGAACCTATGGCACACATGCCAGAGGCGGCATGCAGAGCCCTCTCTGTGGGCACACATGCCGTCACCCCAGCACACTTGGTCTTTAAAAGGTTCGCCATCACTGGGCTATCCCCTGTCTGCTGCAGCTTACTCTGGTCCCCATCTTCCAGGAAGCAGCTGCTCACCTGCCCCCATTGACACTGCCGAAACTGCATGTGCCCCTCTCACTGCACGGAGATGCTGTTGTTGCTGATGCTGTTGATAACTGCTCCACACAGACATGCACGCATTGGCCAGCCTACCATTTCCATGTCTGTTGGTCCTGCCCCCTGCCATAGTCTCAACGGAAGCAGGGTGTTTGGCGCCTTGAGAGCAGAGGGCGGGGCTGGAAAAGCCCCAGCAGGATGGGGGAGTATGCGCGTGCTCTTCTTCTCGAGTTTCTCTCTGAATGCTCGAAATTCCACGTCGCCAGACCGTGTGTGAAGGCGCACGTGGGCTCCCTTCAGGAGAGGCACTGCCCATGTGGGAGAGTTTCGTCATCCTGGACATGGAAGCGGTAGGCCACCGATGCATGCGTGGAGCGGTTATCAACAGCCGTAGAGACGAAGGCACGAGGCAGGTGGGTGTTTTAACATGCCCGTTTTTGTTGCTTTGGCTGCCACTGTGACATTGGATGTGTCGCTAGAGAACTGCGGCATGACAGCCGAAGTATTTTGTAGTCCATAGCAGAGCATGATGGTGTGCTCTGTTGGCATGACATGCTCGCTGAAAGTTTAGTAAGTTAACCCAATTTTGTACATTTTTTACGACACAGAACTAATAAACTAATCCTGGAAGATGGGTGTGCCCAGTGGGTTTAAAAAAACTAGTCCAGGGCTTCCTCTGAACCCAAAAAGTAACATTAAGTCAATAAGCTGCAATTAAGAATGTTGCGGAAATGTAGCCAGCATCTCTATGAAGATGTGATAATCTTGTCAGAAAGATTGGAGTCAGGAAGCTGGGATGAAAAAGAAAGATCCCTAGAATCAACAATCCCTCACACCAAAAATTCCAACAGTCATCCACAGGGAAGCAGGATATCACCTCTGGGACA